GCAAAAACTGGACCTCAGTGAGTTAAGAGTGAGTAAGTGTATGTTATACTTTTACACTGTACTAACTTTTCTCGACAGCTTTGCACACGCCTGCTATATCAACATCACTAACTGGTGCAGAGCTAATGTCACAAAGAATAGAAATAGCATTAACTTGAGAATGGACCAAAACCCCAACAGCTAGTTGCCCATTGCTTTAGATGATCACAATAGACTGTGAAGCAACTTTTAGGAGAGCAACAGCTTGCAGAAGAAAGGAATCCCTTTTCCTTCCCCCCTCCCCACCACAGCTGGTTTTGGTTTGTGCAGAAAAGGGAATGTTTGGTTTGGTCTTGGTGGTCGCTTACTTTTTGGTTTAGCTATTAAAAGGAAAAAAAAAACGCATTAGGAACCACTGCAGTTTTAGGGTATATGTTTTTTTAAATAAATCCACATGATAAAAATTTCCCTTTCGTGTACCGCAGTTACAACTTTTTGTTCAGGACAGGTGGAATGATTTTCCATTTCTTTCCTATATGCTATATATCAAGCTGTTTCTTACAAAAGCATCCAGAAGTTACGGTTTTGTGCAGTTGTCCTTCAGTTTGCCTCCATGTTTTCAAGCATTCTTGCTAGACAAGCATAACCTTCTCCTCCCTGGACAGATTAATTTACCATTTCAGCCAGCTTACTGGTAAATAGGTAAGAGTGATTCTTCCATCAACTTAGACAACTCAGTCTTGCTTTTGCAGACTGACGTAACACTGTTTCTTCAAGAAGTCAGAGGCATGCTAATTTTTCTCCCAGGTAGAAAAACTTGCTTCCTGCAAGCAGATGTGCAGCTGTGAAATAATTGATCAGGTCTCCATTTCAGTCTCCATGGTATCAGTCCTTGAAGGAGTTTTAGTTTCTGGTACAGTCTCTCCATCTAGGTCCTGAATGTCAGACAAATCGAAAGCAGGCAGTGGTGCTCTCCAATACAGGAATGAGTTATATTGACAAAATTCTTCTTCTTGCTTTAAAAAGAGACAAACAAATACAGCAACAAAACATTAATGTATACCACAGCAGTAGAAGAAAACAACAAAAAGGCTTTTACAAAAGAAGCTGAGCCAAGGAAGGGTTATTCTACTGTTCTATATGGAGAGATCTTATAATTTTATAAGGAAAAATACAAACAATTGCTAAGGAAAACACCACAGAAAATCTCAACCAAATTATAGTTTACAAGTAATTTCGAATAATGTTACGAAAGACTACGGTTATCACCTCTGGGAAAGACTAATAACCACCAATTTGTTCCGCTTGGAAAAAATTTGCAGGGAACAAGACAGAAAAACTTGTGCAATTCTTTTTGTACTGTGTGAATGTAAAAATTGTTCACTGCCTTTTCTTCTCACAATGCTATACGAATGTCATATGCATTTAGAAGCCTGCATACACAAAAATGTACTTAACTGTTTTGCATCTACTTAAAGAACAGGATCTGCAGGAAAAATAAAGCACTAGTGAGGGTTTCTATGACACTGCATTTCTTCATCTACATTTTGAACAGAAGAAAAGAATAATGAACATTTCTTTTTGGAAGAGGGAGGGGAAAGCTTAAGACAAGGTAAGCTGTAAAGGGAAAAAAAATTGGAGGAACATGTGTTTATCTACTAGCTTACTCCGCAGGTATATGCCACCACAAAACCTTTTTTCCCTTCTCCATTAGACAATAGGCTGTCTGCTTATAATCTTATGGCACTACTAAAATAAGAAACAAAGCTTCTAGAATGGGTTACCAATCCATGCGTGTTTCTATGAAAGTGATGCACATAAAAAGTAAAGAAATTTTCAAGTCATTCCTTAGGTCTTGAACATGTACTTTGTTCTACTACATAAAAGCATAAAAACAACGAGTACCACCAGATACCTAAAATAATGTACTTTCTGGTATATATTGGTTTGTATTTTCTCTAACATGTGATTAGAATTTTTAAACATTTTAATGACTCAGATGAAACAAATTTTGAAAAAAAGCATTTTTAACTACTAAGCTGGTATAACTGAGTTTCGGTATGACTCTTCAACAAGTTAATCATCTGTCTGCTGGCTTTATAACAGAATAACAAAAACTGTAATGTCCAAAAAAATCCCAGTAAGTATTGACACTAAAGCCTCTCATGGAATAACGGCCTCAGCACGGAATAACATGCTGCTTTTTAAAAAAATAAATTTACTGTACATCCCATAGGAAAATAATTTTTCTACTTGTTACAACACAAACTTCTTGTGGACTACTGTTTGCTGTACTAGGTTACTTATGTTTTCTATCAAAACCTGCATTATTCAAGATCTGTGATAATTAAAACAAGGATAAAGATGAGGACATTTTATAATAATAGGATTGTTGTGTGCCTGTAGAGTACTACTGATGCACATATTTGCTCACTAGGAAAAGATTGTCTTCGAGAAAGTTTACAGCAACAAAGTTCCTATTAGCTGGGCTTGGGACAAAAAGCAGTGAAGTAATGGGAGTGCCACAGAAACAGGATTGGTTATAGAGAAACTGGAAGAAAGCCAAAATACAAGCAGCTGCATAAATATTCTTGTCAATTGAGATTTTTGTACTGCACAGTATTAACAACAAACAATAAACAATGTGTGAAAGGTGGGTAACAACTTCTTTAAAAAAAATTTCCAGCAATGGAGTTTCACAACCTGTCAGCACATAGTTATCCTTACATATTGTCCTCATGTTTACCTGAATTCACCTTCTTATAATGTAATAGAAAGCTGCTGCTCACATTGTAAGAACTGGAGACTTAAAGTCAGAATACCATTGTGCTATGTGCTTTGCAGGCACCAAGGAAATGATAGCATTCTTGTACCGAAGACATTATAATCTAAAATATCACAACTGCAAAAATACTCGCATTCCTAATTTCTGGTTCAGATTACATATTGGATTAATCTGAAGAGTACTCAAGTCTTCAGAGCAGCAGCACTTCAGTTTATTGTGAAAATGAGCGACACCATGCAGTAGTGCAAAAGGCAGGAACAAACACTCGATTTGTCCTTGTGAAAAATTTAAAACATACACAAAGGACACGCAGCAGATGGAAGAAAAACTTCTTCTCCTAACATTAGCCAAGCTTTATTTTAAAGAGGAAATACTTTTATACAGTATTGTACTTAGGGAAATAAACTATTTAAAAATACACTCCCACAAAAAATATTTTATATTGGGAAATATGCAGCCATATATACAATTGTCCTATGGAATTCTTTCAGAAAGTACTCTCTCACTCTTCACTGGGTAGGAATCCAGGGGCTTACTGCCTTCCCTATCACAACTAAATAATAACTAATAACCGTAGGGATAAGTAAAGAAGTCGGCATCCTATCTGCAATGAAGTAAAACAGTTCTGTAGAGCTTGGCTAAATTTGTCACCAAAAATTTCAAAAGAAGCCTGTTCTCTCTTCCAAAGTGAAAGACATGCTTGTGTTTAGAAGGTCCAGCTTTACAAAGATGTATTATTTTCCAAGTGCATACAGAATTTTTTCCTCAATTCAATTTGTGCCTTAATTCCACTAAGGATCACAAGAAAAAAAAAAGGGGGGAGGGGAGAGCCTGAGAAAGGTAAGTCACAAATGTGTTCATAGATCATATTCAAGTGTTATATTATCGAAGCGCAATTTTTATTTTTTTTTAAACGGGAGGCTAAAACTGGAGTTCGAAGTCTGCCTGACCCGCCTGGAGAGAGTCCCTGGCTTTTCCAGCTCACTGGATCAAGTCTTTCACTTTTAGTTAAAAGGTCCAAGTAAGAGGAGAGGTGGATTTACGTATTTCAGACTTGCACGCAGGTATGAAGTTTAACGGCGGTTGGGAGG